TAATAGTCTCCTTCACGGTTACCTGCGCCATCTTGAAAGGTAGCCGTGCCTTTGCATCGAAGCGAGACAACCGTTGAGCGTGCAATGATAGATACCTGTGAATATTGTCTGTAGGTGTGAAAGAAGGTTTTTATCATTGCACGCTCAACGGTTGTCTCGCTTCGATGCAAAGGCACGGCTACCTTTCAAGATGGCGCAGGTAACCGTGAAGGAGACTATTAAGCGCTACACGGCTACCTTTCAAGATGGCGCAGGTAACCGTGAAGGAGACTATTGCAATAAAACATAGCACATATAATTTTTGGTAATCAGAAATAGTAATCATAATATATGAAGGATCACATTTTGAAACCAACTAGGAGTACACTTTTTGACATACTAAATTTCACTTGTTGAGATCACATTGCATGGAAAAAACGCCAAATTGAACAAATGTTTACCACGAACATTGCCAGAAATTTCTAACCATATTTGGGCCAGAGCTAATTAGTTATGAGTTTTTGACACGTCAATAAAACAATTGTTTTCCACCTTATGACTGGACTATGAAATCGAGAGTATACACATTTCTGAAACCAATGTCGGTTCGGAATTTCTGGCAATGATACATCATACAGCATAAATCAGATATCATGTCCCATCAACTGGCAAAATCCATGACTTGCGTGCTTCAAGCTATCCGTCCGTTTGAAATAAGTATATATAACGTATAAAAATTTAATAAAAAGTTTTCTAGAATGGTTTACAAGCTAAGTTCCAAAGAGCATTGTAAGCCCATAACGAAATTAGATTATCAGACAGTGCCTTGTGTTTGTTGTTTTCTTCATTTTCTTTCTTTCTTTCTTGCTCTCTTTCTATACCGAAGCACTATAAAGATGGTTCGATCGACTAGCCACCCAAATCTTTCCTCGATTCGCCCTTGTTTTGTGTGCTGTATATACACCTACTTGCAGAAACGTTGTCATAGAAAATAGAACATTTGAATTTAGTAAAAAGGAATAAATTTAAACAAGACAAAAGAGAGCGTTCAGCCTCGGTGATCTTCTTTCGTCTTTTTAATTTATTCCTTTTTACTAAAATACAAATGTCCTATTTTCTATGACAACGTTTTCGCAAGTAGGTGTATGTAAAACACRCATTAACCACATGAATTTCTGTTAGAATCCATGCCAAGAAGCACCTTGTCGTAATGGCGGCAATTGTACCTTACAAGAAAACAGGCAGCATTATAACTGCGAGTGCAAGAAAGGATTTGAGGGCGAGCATTGCGATCAAGGTATGCAATAATTGTCCATAATTATCATTATAATAGGACTTGATTTTTGATTGCCTCATTAGTTCGAAATTAGAACATCATTTGTAGCTAAGGGATTTTTTGTACGAGTAATAAAAGAATTATAATTTCTATAAATTACCTGACAGGAGGGGGAGGGGGAAGGGGGCGGTTCTAGTTTAAAAAATCGTGTTTCATCTAGGTGACCCCGCCCTCTACAGTTATTTTGAGAAACACGGCATCTATTTGCCAAAAAACTTTGGAGATGCCTGCAAAGAGGAGCAAGCTTGCGCGAAAACTTTCATACCGCTAACGGCCTAAATATTTATCACCAGTGCTGGGTCAGTGGGTTGCCTTAGATTCACTCAGTGCTGGTTTATGAATTTAGTCATTATGACAAGACCATGCTTTGAATAAGAATGTCCTGTATTTCAACTAATTCATGCCCAATTCCCCTTTCTAAATGCTGTAATCTGCAACTCTTTTCAGCACCAGATATTCGTCTCGTTGGATCATCTAATAAGTACGAGGGACGTCTTGAAGTCTATCACAACGGCCATTGGGGTACTGTCTGCGATGATTACTGGGACCAAAATAGTAACGGTGGTACGGTCGCTTGCCGGCAGCTCGGATTCAGTGGTCTACAGTCCTACGATACGGACAAATTCGGCCAAGGGACTGGGTTTATCTGGTTAGATGATATCAGATGCACTGGTACCGAACAACGAATACAAGACTGTCCCCATATTATCATACCAGGTGGAGTTGGTCATTGCAGTCACTCTGAAGACGTAGGCATAATATGCATTCCATGAGAGAACTGTRTTATAATTATTTTGATTATGCGCGGTCTCAGTGTCGTCAAGCCAAACCTGTGCTTTGAGTGTAAAATGATCGGTTTTTTTTTCTGCAAAATACTATCATCGATTCAACTGARCTGCCTCAAGCAGTCGAGGTTTTATCAAAGTTATAGTGCTAGACATATTGCCGCTGTGTAGTGATAGGGACTGCTAATTAACGTCAAATTCCCATATTCTGACGGATACAGCCTTTTTYAAAAATTATGAGAATTGTCGAAATATCTAAATATCATAATATCGAGTGCATGATGGGTAATCCCGCGCGATGCCCTTAGTCCCTTGTCTTTGTAGCTTAGTTTTTTTTTTTTTGGCGACAGGCTTATCCGTAGTTCTGAACATTTTCTCGATGTCAACACTGAATTATTCTAGCAAACCCGCGTGTTCCGGACAATATATGGATATGGATATTATGATATTTAGATATTTAGACAATTCTCATAATTTTTGCAAAAGCCTGTATATAAATAAAAACATTTATAACCAACATTACATCGATTTTTGACTAGTTATTGCACAGGAGTTTAGTTTATTCAGCTAAACAAGGCCTTGTAAAAAAACGTCATATTTCACGTGCATTTATTTGAAGGCAATTGAAGTTGTATGTAATTCAGTAGTTAGCATGCTTCACAGTTATGTAATTAGTGCATTTTATTTTATACACCGCCAAATTGAGCAAACGTTCTTGGATCGCAAAAATGGGGTATCATCGAAACTATTTCAGAAGGGTCTTTTAAGCGCTGATAAATTTGAATCATTTTGACACTAAGTATTTTTACAAAATAGAATATCTCGTAGAGAAGGTCATTCATGTTATTCTTATTATGTGCAGACAATCCTTTGACTCTGAAACACTGTTATATTCGTAATAGTTTGCTGTCTCATGTTCCCTTTCGGTCTTAGCTTTGATAATGTGACCTTTTAGAACCCGACTATGCT